CCGAACTCACAAAGATCCTCCTGCCTCAACCTCCTGAGTGCTGGAGTTACAGGCATGGGCCACCATGTCCAACTAATAGATTTGTTTGAATTGGTGAAATGTTAGATCCCTTCCATCCAACGTGGAAGTGGTGAAAACTGCCAGTGATAATTGTATCCTGAGGAATTTTGATTTATTAAGGAAATTTTATTTCCTGTTTGCTGAAAGTATTCACCATAAATAAATAATACACTGTACAGTTTTATCAGATTTACTGAGGTAATCATTGATTTTTTTCTTTTAATATTTTCTTATGGCCAATTATATATGTTAACAATATAGCTATGAGCTTACAGATCTATTTAAATTCAGTTGGTTTATCAAGCATTTTTTTTTTGTTTTGTTTTGATACCAAGAATTGAACTCAAGACCTTGTACTTGTGAAGCAGGCACTTCTGCTGCTGAGCTACATCCCTGGCTTCAAGAATTATTCTTGTGCATCGCTGTAATCAACTTGCTCATGTGTCATGAATGATCTTTGCACCTAAATTTTCCAGTACAATTGGCCTATCATGTTGATTTCTAAGTCTGATTTCAAATGTTTCAGTATCAGGTTATAGACAGAAGCATAAGTTGACCTGGTGCAGTCTCTGGTTTTGTTTCTCTAAAATCATTTATATAAAATTGAATAAATCTGTCCTGTGAATATTTGGGAGAATTTGCCCCTCTTGGGCTGATCGTTTCACTTGTGTAGATCAGAAATGCCTGGTGGAGTGTCCTTAGCCTGTGAGACCGGTGCCAGCAGTGTTTGGGTTTCAGATCTTTGTGGGTATTTTGGTATATTTTCATGTATGCAAAATGAGATACTGAGGATGGGACCCAAATGTACACACAGCTGACTTACGTTTCATGTACACACAGCTGACTTACGTTTCATGTACACATCGCCTGAAGGCAATTTTACATATTTTTAGCATTCTTGTTTTTTGATTGCTGTTCCCTATATAAGACCACGTGTGGAATTTTCACCTTGTGGTATCATATTTGCAACTCACAAAATTTTGCATTTTGGAGTATATTGTAGATTTTGGATTTTCAGAGAAAAGAGGCTCAACCTGTACTACTAGATATTTTAAAACATTGATTCTAGTCTGTTTGTTTCAGATAATGTTTAACAATTTTCATTTTTCTAAGAGTATATCTTTCATCTACTGTTTTATGGTTTGTAAAAAAAAATCTTTGTTCATAATATTTCCCTGGGTCATTTTATCTCTGTTTTTGTCCCCACTTAAAAATTAATATTGTTTAAATTGGTGTAATTTTGTTTGACCACGGTTTGGTCATGTTTATTTGTCTGTGAAAAATGAATGGGGAACATGCCAACCATCTATCTTTCCTTCACTCTCTGTTATCTGAGTTTCTAGTTTTTAATTTCCGTCCTTTACTTTCTTTGCCTTAGGCATTCTTGCTTGCTTTATTTTGCCTTCTTTGATTTTGTTTTTCTTGCTTTGGAGCCAGAGCTAGTCATTTCTAGACATCATTTTTCTGTAATAGAAACATTTTACTTCATAAAATTCCACAGAAGTACTAACTTTACAATACTCTAATGTCTTTGTGGAAGTGTTTTATTATCATCTAGCTTTAAATAATTTCTAATTTCTATATTTTTCTTTAAAATTTAAATTATGTAGAAGTCATTTTGGCTTTAATTTCTAAATTCATATTTATTTGTTTTCCGTTATTAAAGATTGCTATGAAAAATCACAATTGGAACAAAACCAGTTATTTGATATGTGTTAAATCTTGCTTTGTGAGCAGCATGCATGAATTTCTATAAGATCTGAAATTTATTTCAGACTTGTATTAATATTACTGCCCTAAGTATGATCTTTGTACTGTGAGATGTTAATAGTTGAAGAAAATACTTGGAAGGGAAAAATCTAAGAGGTTTCTGTGTATCATTTGCATTTTGCCATATTCCTAAGATCTAAAAACTATTTCAAAATGAAAAGCCAGAAGTTTAAAATCATGGAACCTGTTACCTCGGTGAAAAATTCCTGCTTCCTTTTGAACCCAAACCTCTCTCATGGTTTGTCTTTTCATTACTATCACATAATTTCAGATGAGGAGGCTTAATAATGAACCGAGCTGCCCTTTACACCTTGCTGTGGGTAGAAGACAGGGTCAGGTCCTCGGGGTAGGAGGAGAATGCTGAGGAGGTGCCCTGTGGCCCCTCTGTGGCTGCTGCCGAGCCCTCTGCTATGGGAATCTTCCATGCCACTACCAGCTCAAGACAAAGGGAAGGCCTTTGTCTTGCTATGTCATACAGGGTATGTGAGTTTATACATCTCCACGAAAAGCACATAAAATATATTCTACTCTTGTAAATATAATCCTCTGTTGTGACAGATCCACCTTCCCAAATAGTCTAACGTGGATTTTGAGACATGATTCATTTACTTGTGAAAGATTATACTGCAGTGTTTATATTAAAGATGAAAGCAGGAGCCGGAGAGAAACAACTCACCGGGTGCTCCCAGTGCGCTGTTGTCTTTGCGTGGTTAATCCTGCTTGTTCAGGCCTCCGACATAACTCATTGGTCACGGAGCTCTACGCGAACAATGTGGCAAGCAGAGGCGCCCCTCAGGTCCCTCACACGGCTCCACATCCTCTCCGCCCATCAGCTCTGCTCTTTGTGATTAGTTTTTAAACACATTACATGACCAGGTAGAGCTGCAAAAAGATAAGAATTAAGATTAAGTAAACAAAACAAATTTATTTTCATGTGTACACGGTTGTGCAGAGAATAGGTCACAAATTCAAACAGTGTTCTCGGTGTTTGTAAAAACCGTGGGAGTGTCAGTGTGTGAAAGACATTTAAAGTAAGCAACGAATCTATGCTCTTGTTCGATTGCTACTATAGCTCTATATTTTATTCTATCATTTTAGTTTAAAGTAATTCTGAATTCTGAATTCAGCTTCATTAACTTCTAAGTAACACTAGGCAGTCCACTTCTGGTGGTGACAGTGAAAGTAATGAAATGGAAAGTAACCTCTCACTGGCTCCAGGAGTGCTGCTCAGACTTCTCGGGGACCAGGGAGGGACAGACCGGGATTTCCAGGCGACTGTGCCAGCCCCACACCCCTGTTGCCGCAAGCACAGAGGAAGAACCCAAAAAGGGAAGCAGCTCCAAGAGCCCCAGGCCCCTTTTAATCATGAACACTATATAAAGTTGACCAAGTTTACAAAAGATTACAAAATTAATGGAAAGACACATGTGCCTGCAGCTAATGAGGGAGAAGCACAGTTTGTGGTATGCAAAGGGCCTGCTGGTGAGCAGGAGTTGCTGAGGTCAGTGCAGAGAGAGAAGGAGCTGCTGTCCACAGCAGGTGGACAGTGACCACCTAGTCCAGGATTGCTAGTCATTTCGGGCAGTATCGGCTAAAGCCAGGCACACGCATTTTCTATGTGGCACTGTTCTCCTTCCAGGTCTATATCTGAGTGAAACACGTACACACTATAAGTTCCCCTAAACACTCCCTGAGAGGTCCTCAGGGATCTGCTCACCATAACCCAGACTGGAAATACTCCCGAGGCCCTTCCACTGTAAAACAGATGGCGGCATCGTGGTGCCTCCTGGAGTGAAGGTCTGCTCTGCTGTGGGTGGGAAGGAACAGCAGCTACCTGCAGTAGCCCGGGAAGCTTCTGAGCACCCTGGCGGGGGCACACAGATAAACTGTGTGAAGAGGCTCTGGGAAACGGCTCCCAAAAGTGTTGCCCTCATTGTGGTGCCCTTGGTAGGTGCTGCAACCTTTAAGAGACAGGGCTTGGGGACCGGAAGTGGGATCCTAGGGACAGATGTGTCCTTGAGGGAGAGTTTCTGTCTCTGCTTCTGGCCACTATGAGATGGGCAGTTTCCCTGGCCCTATGCTCCCACCGTGATATTCTGCATCACCCCAGGCCCAAAGCAACAGAGCCCATGGTCCATGGACTGAGCTCTAGGAACCACTGAGGAGAAATGAACTTCCTCCTTCCAAGGCACTTACATTACAGGAGCGGAAAATCAGTGCACGCCAAGCTGAAAGGAACAAAGTCACTGACTGCTAGCTGATTGCCTTCCAAGACCTACAGGGATGTAAAAGACGGCAAGATGCTGGCAGTGTTCCTGTCCAGTTCTGCAGGACAGGTACACGCACTTGCTGTCCACTAGAATGCAGTCCTTACATACTGCACACGTAGTGGATGGAAAAATCAAAAAGAAATCTGCCAATGGTTAGGGGAGTGCAGCCATGTGGTAGAAACGTATCCCGTGCACTTAACTGAGATTACCAAAGGATTCGCGTCGGCCTCTATCACTAACTGTTCTATCCACAACACAGCACACCGGAGAGGGCCTTCCTTTCCACAGTGACTCCAAGGTATTGCTCCAAGCACCGCTTGGAGCTGCCAGCTGGTTTATCTGGGACCTTCGGGTGATTCACCCAGTTCCTGCACCCACGCACAGTGCCTCCGTGGCTCACACTGATGACTTGGCATCGAAGGTAACAAGTATCTGGACCAGGTCCATATGCTTAACCGTAAAATGTTTCATTATAGGAAAACCCAAAATGACATCTTCTTTTTCCTAAAATAAACTGAAAAAACAGTGGAGAGGAACAAACTCAGACAGCAGCTAAGTGTAGGGAGATTCCCGCCCAGGGTCACCAGTTACCTAATCCTAAGTCTATTTTTTGGTATTTAAATTACTTAATTACAGAATACTTTCCTCACAGTTTCATATGTGAGAAAAGCAATCTTCACTTTTTAACACTGCTTTAAACCAAAGGTTGAGTAACAGTTAAGAGGATCTCACATGATTCAACTCTACATCAGCTAGCAAAATGTGTTAAACTGTTTAAAAACAACAGTAGCAGGAGTGATCGATGACGATAGTGTACTAAGCCTACTGTAATCCATTATACTTTAAATTTATGTCTTAAAAAATAATAATTACATACAAATGAAGACATGAGCAGATCTCTTTCCAAATATAGGAAACACTCAGGTTTCAAATACTTTATTGTCATAAACCAACACATATTACTTTACAATATCTCACAATTTCTCACCTCGTTTTTAGGGTGACAGTCATACAGAGAGAAACCAAAAGATGGGTGTTGCCGGGCAGAGCCAGTGAGACAGTGAGGCCAAGGCACCTCGTCTTTCTCTTTGGCAACCTCAGTTAGCAGCAGTTCTAGGAAATTACCAGCCACCCCTCCAATATCAAAACACCTTCTCCTCCTATCACTTCTTCTTTGTTAATTGCATTACAAAACAAAACCAATAGCTAAATACATTCTTGTTGATCCAAAATGCAAAAATTACAGAAACCAGACATTTGAACAGTTTGATATTAGATGCAAAGTTTAGATGAAAAGCTTTTCTTTCTATGGAAAGAAGCATCTTTAAAATCCTTTCAATGTGGAGGGAGAGCATCTCAGTTTAGGTCTGCTGTTTCATCTACTGTTCACACTAATGAAGTCAATTGTTTAATGAAATTAAAATGTAATGACATAAAAACAAGATAGAATGTTATAAAAGATGAGTATTACAACATTCTCAAGTATGACTGTTTACAAAACAAAAATGCGGAGATGTCTTCCAAGACATTACAATCTTTAAAAGGAGGTCACACTCTTTCCACACTTTGGGACGTGAAAGGCTTCCACAAAACTTCAACTTCTGTAAAGCAAATAACTTGACTGCTTTTGTTGCCTCGGATACACAAGCTACAATAGCAGCTGTTTGAAACAGAAGAACTAAAAATAAAAGGAAATTATATTACTTTATCATAAACATACCCATTAACTTCAGTAGTGATTTTATATAAGTACAATTTTAGTTATTTTTCATTACCGATTCATGTGCATAAGTTGGAATTATTCTACATTGAAAATTCCTGAAGCAACTGAAGCTATAGAAAACTGCACATACAAATGAGGAAATTCTTTCCTTACTGTGAAAAATATCTAGCAATAATATTAGAGATAAAAAGTGCCAACTTGAACTAAACCCAAGACTTAAATAGTTTTATTTTGAGTCCACTTGTATATTTAAATTTAAACTTTTAAAATTAATTTTTAACCAATACATAAATTTGTAATTATTATTTGCATGTACCTAATGTACCAGATTTTCGATTTTTAAAAAGTATTAGCTGGAAAAGAGAGGAGCATAGTCAGCATAAAAAGGGAAGACAGGTTCTGAGATTTCTCACAAATGTCTCAAAGTCCTGCAGACATGGGCACACGTTTCCTAGTACGCTGACGAATACCATTTTTGCAAATGTCGTTCCTGCCCGCTGCAGAAACACACTGGCATCACTTGACACAGCGTCCTCATGAAAAGCCTTTCTAATTCTCTCTCTCTCTCGATGTGGGCTCTGATTCTTGTAACTCACGTGACATGCTTTGATTGTGGTTGTCTGTTAGATTTCCTGTTTGGACCAGATTCTGCAAACCAAAACAAACAGCTCAAGACAAGCCTATGGTGAGTGACTACTGTTTTCCTCTTTGGCATTTCCAGTGAAAGGGTTTCCTTTTAGAGGTACAGGGAAAGAGAGGGCAAGAGACACAAATGGGGAGCTCATGGGTCACAGCAGTTTCAGGGCTCCAAAAAAGGTGCCGTCGCCATCACGAGAGATCTGTGCGTTTTCCCTCGGGATTGCCAGTTGGAGTTCGTCTCCCTCTTCCAGTTTCGCGATGCCTGGCAAAGAAGGATTCATGAGAGCTTTAAGGGGTTGCTGGTGGAAAAAAGAAGATAGTAATAATCTTAAAGCAATAGTTTTGCTTTGCAAAAAAAGGTTAATAGAGACATTCAGACTTTAGGGTACATCTGTAGATGTCTATGCCAGCCCCAAATCTGTTAGCCTTGAACATGACAGGACATGACATGAAGTAAAATTAAAATTAAATAATCAGGAAAAGACACCACAGATACAATGGAGTCAGCATCGCTGCTCATAAACTATGGACTGTCACAGACCCAATCAATCATAGCATGTTCCCTGATACTTTATCATTTAGTTCAAGCGGGGGGTGATTAATTTTATTAACCAAGGATACTTTTATAATGATGCTCAATAAAAATACAGAAAACCACATACAATTTATGAATACTGAACTATCCAGGTTATTCTTTAAATATGAAAATTAAAAAGACAAAAATTAGAGAAAAAAACCAAAACTCTTACTAACAAAGTACATTTTAGAATCTTTTTTTCTTTAAACTACCAACTATGAGTTTAAGGGTTATTTAGATCCCTTTTGACAACTATTTATACTTTAGGTTTTCTTAAATGACCATGTTTGTCTTTATAATCAAAAGCAGCAGGGCTGGGGATTTAGCTCAGTGGCATGAGCGCCTGCCTGGCAAGCGAGAGGTCGTGAGTTCGATCCCTGGTACCGCCAAAAAAAAAAAAAAAAAAAAAAAAAAGAAAGAAAGAAAGCAGCAAAGCAGTTAGTCCCTTACAAATGACCCACAGCTCTGTGGTGCCTGCGGTACAGTGATGGATCCTGAGAATGAAGGAAACAAAGCATAGTCCACAAAAGACTTTTACTATGTTGGTAATTATTGGCCACACTCCAAAAGAAAAATATGAAGGAGAAAAAGAGGAAGAGAAAGAGGTAGAGAAGAAATGAAGAAGCTAATGAACAAAATGAGTAATATTTAAATTGTCGAGACTTACAACTAGCGGTTTAAACAGCAGTCACGTTGTTTTGTTAGCAGACAGTAAAAACGTCTGCTTATACCACGGTGTCAGTGTCTGCGAGGTCCTGACGCTCACTGCACCTGGCAGGTCGCTTTTTATTTACTGAATATTATGTTGCAGTGCTACCGAGGCAGGCATACAAAATTGTTGCCCTAACACTGTGCTTTTTACAATGGGCGAGGAAAGACAACAAAAACTTCCTTTTTGGTATCGGTTAGAATCATGAATGTTTTTTGTAGAGGCAGCAAACGCTTGAAGGTTGACAGCCTTATGTAGTTCAGTAAAAGAAAATGATTTTTGTGAAAAGATCAGGATCTATTTATTGAATAGAATTGCAATTATCAGAGAAATTAAAAGGGGTTTAGTAGTTTGGAGAAAAAGCATTTAGAAATATTAAAAGGCTTTGGGTCACAGAGCACTGAAAAATCTTAACTCTGAAGAATAAGTGGGTGTGAACAGCACTAATTTCAATGTAAAACCCTGAGCCGTGGCCTATTTCAGTTACAGCAGCCTGCAGTGTCAGCTGTGACTTCTCTTCACAATAGGCATATTCAATTTATTAATGGGGAATGAGTAATAATTAACTATGTATAAAAGTGTGTTTCTTCAATTGACTATTAAAAATGTATAAGGCCACTAAAGAAATACTTTTTGCACTTATGCACCAGCAGGTAGTTTTTAGTGGCTTTAAAGAAATTTGTCCTGGAATAGTTTAAAAACTGCAAGCCTGAAACTTCTATGAAATCAAGGTAACTATTCTTAAAAATAAGTTGCTTAACAGCTTTAGCCGAGTTCTCTCATAGGAAGCAAATGGTCAAGGAGCAAAGGACTAGGAAAAAGTTTTTTAAGTCAGTCATAAACACAAGTACTAACGCATAATGAACGACAGAGTGGCATGGCCTCACAATTTACAAATATTGTGCAATATCAAACTGCTGGTCAGCACTGGCCACAGCGAAAGTTTCTTTATGAAAATAAGGGAATTCCACTGTGATAGACTTCCTCCTACTCGAGCGAAGTTCGTTAGGGTTTCAGATCCAGACTATCATCACCTCTGTTTGTACTCACTGTTTTCCTTGGTTTCTAACTGATTTACTGGGTGTTTGTTTGTAAACTCCGGGATACTTAAAATGTTTCCCAATCCTGCATTCTGCATTGCCACTTGCTGTAACTAAGTAAGGCCTCAAGGGAGCCCTAAAACTTCTAAAGATTTGTCACAATCACCAGGGACAAGAACATGCTCAAAATAAAAGGTACATTCACCTGGAACGTTTGCGTTACTCTATTTTCCAAGACCACCTTTGGTTACCTGGAAATTACTCCCTTCTCCCCACCCCTCAGGCAGGAAACACCAGCAGCCACAGACCCCAGCAGACTGGGAACAGACAGATACTTCAGTCCTTCTCTGCCTCAGGGTCCGAAGGCAGGGCTGAGCTAAGCATGCAGCCCTAAGTCACTTGTCCCATGCTGACACGCACCAGCTGTTAGCTGTGTGACACCCCCAGCTTCCAGACATGCTGGGATGGGGAGTCTGGGTGACTCCCCCACGGAACCAGACTAACCAGTTTAAACCTGATGACTGTGAACTTGGGACAATGGTGTCACCTGCCAGAGTCCACCTCCCTGAATGGCAAGATTAGAGTAGGCCTGGTAAACAGCAGTGGCTGCAAAGACCCAGGGAAAAGCATCAGAGAAGGCTTCCCAGCGAGGCATTCAGGAAGCCACAGCCTTTTCTAGGTGGACATCAGTATGGTTAACAGCATGTCTGCTGTCTCCTCAGACCCTGGTCTGTTCAAGAGGAGCACAGCCTATATCCACCCCCAGAAAGCAGATCTGAGAAGGGTTATTTACCGGCTGAGTAGCAGGAATTATTGGGTAGTGTTTCAGGCATATTCTGAATGCAACGGAACAGAGTCACCAGACTCAGCTCGTCCCCAAAGACGTGGACTTTTTTCCTCTGTATTAGGTGTCCCATGGCAAAAGTGTTATCAGTGTACAAAACCTGGGAAACAAAGCAAAGGGCACGGTCAGGAGGAGGCGGGGAGGCCTGTGGGCAGGAAAGGGAGTGGCAGGGTTCATGCCTACCTGGCCGTAGATGAAGAAGTAACCGGGTTCCTTCACCACTATCTTATTCTCTTTCTCCTCCAAGGCTCTTCCTCTTTTAAAGCTGAGCAGCCACGGTACAAATGTGTATGATCCTACAAAGAAGAGAATTGCTTGTAAGGAAAGAAACTCGGACGGGCACTTTTCAGCTTTTCTTCATTGCAAACCCAAATCTGTAACTTCAGGAAACTTCCATCTATTTACTAAAAATAAGGAAGAGGATGAAAGAAAAATCAGAGTTCCAGTGATCACGTGTATGTTGACCTGCGCAGCCGTGATGCTCCGTGTGAGTGTCTGGGTTTTATTCATTCATTTACTGTCTTCAGTTCATTGATCTCACAGTGAGGGGTGGGGGCTGGGTTCAGATGGGTAAGGCTTCTGTAATGCACTAGTGAAGGGTTTTCACTGGTTCTTCTCGAGGAGGAACTGATCACGCGAAAAAGTCACCAATGGAGTCAGGAAGAAGCCAGCCCCATCCCACAGCCTGGGGATGAGCAGGGAGCAGGAGAAGGAGGACCCTGCTGAGAGGTGTGTGTGACCTCCCTCCATCTCAGCCCCTCCCCCCCCCCCATAACTACCACTCTCTACTTGTCCTCCTCAGCTCTGCTCTCTGTTCCTCCGAGCTCAGTGAGTTTAGGTTCACACAGGCCAAGGGAAGTGGCCATGCAAAGCCTTTAATATAAGGCCTTCCAGGTTCGTCCACCTTGTGACAAAGGAGATTTCATTCTCTTGGGTGACTGGCAAGTGTTCCTCAGTGCAATCAGCCTGAGGTTTTTAGGCACTTGTCTGTTGACGGACACCGAGGCTGGTTCTGTATCTTGGCCACTGTAAATCATGCTGCAGTTACAGCAAGGCTGTGAGTGTCTGCTCGGTATGATGACTTCATTCCTCTGCATAACCCAGAGGCTGAGGGGACTGCGGATGCCATGCACGGACAGTCCACTTCTTCAATGGGGCTCTGCTCCGTGCAGAGAGTCCCTGATTGGGCAGGTCTGGACACCCTACTCCACTTTTACCCCAAAGGAGGGTTCTAGGCCACTGGTCCTGAAGTGCAGATTCCCCCAGGGTCCTGCTGAGTGATAACAATCAGGGAGCAAAACACATTACCGACCCTTACAAAAACAAAGGCAAACTGTCTTCACTTGTCAGCTGGCACAGTAACCTCAGTAAAAGGACTGCAGTAGGAGTCTTTAATTCTATTTAAATGCAATGGTGTCCCCAAACCAGATTTAAATGTTGTGTGCTAAAAATGCAGAGGAAGAATGGGCCTCATAATTAAAGGGACTGGTGTGAGGGTTAGCAGCAGGACTCCCTGCATCAAGGAGGCTTTTTCCCTTCCAAACCAGGCAAACCTCGGATTCTCACTTCCCTGAGCAGCACAAGGACTGCTTATTTTTGACTTCCTGCTATTTCCCCAGGGCTTAAAATGAAGACTAGCTCACAGTAGATGCACAACATGTATTTACTAGTTAACTGACTCAACTGTAAACATAAATAATTCAAAACGGTATGTGCTGTGACAATCAGTCACAAGCATTTGGCTGTGCTTTTAAAAAAACATTGTTGCCAATAGCTTACTGAAATTTTGGAAACTCAAACACAATCACTGAAGCTCAAACTAGTACATACTCTTAAAGTGAAGAAAAACATGTATTTCCATAAGTTTTTGTTTATATCCTGTCTGGAGCTAGCTATTTACTAAGATTTCTTTTGCAATAATTTACATTTATTTCCTAATTCTTTGTTCCATATTCATTTTCTTTTGACATTTCATCATCTCTTTCTGGCAAGAAAATAGAGTATATGCCTATTTGTTTTTATTTACTGTCTGTATTCTACTTCCTCTCTGTACCCACATCCGTCATTGAAATAAACACACACACACACACACACACACACACACACACACACACACACACACAGGATTATACTCCACAAGTTCCGAGAGTGCTACAGTCATAGGTGTGTTTGACAATGCCAATAACAGGGTCTAACACTAAATAGAAACGTGCTAATGAGCAGATTCTAAATCTTTTCAGAAAATACACTAAACAAAATATTAAAACCAATGTATTTATAAACTTAAGCATAAATATTGTAATGTGTGTCTATGTCTTAAAATGCTCCTAGGCTTTTAGCATCTTAGATAATAGAGAAGTATAAATAATAAAACATGCCTCAATGCCTGCACTAAAGAGAGGAACCTGTAAAATAACAGACATCTTTCCTCCTAGAAAATATTTAAGAATCTGGAGCTAAACGCCCAAACTGCAAATACTTACTGCTAGTAAACAGGTAAGAAAGATGCTAATGCATCTTTATATAAAGTGCTTGGAATATCTAGCTGCACTCAGATTTAAATCCTTGAAAAATTGCAATGTTTTCAAAATTTTTAAGACAGTAAACTAATACAACATGTGAAATTAATTTAAAAGTGTTTATGTTCATCTGTGAATAAAATACATATTTATAAACATGTCTTGCCTTGAAGGGCATTATTTTTCTTCTTCCAAGCTATATTGAAGAATTATAAATATTACATTTTGGGATGCAGGTTTCTACAGAAAATAATGTATATTTAACATTTGTTTTTTATCCTAGTTGCTGGATGGGAAGCTCCCTCCCACACATTTATCCTCTCAGCAGACAGCCGTGGTCACTCAGGGCTATTTACCTCCCTGATTTGCTTCTCTGGGTTTCCGTTTTAGTATCTTAACAGTACCTGCAATAGTTTTAAGACAGAAAATACCTAATACTGATAATACTTTTTTCAAGGTAGATTAGGTAAATCAGTCCAAGTACCAGACTTTTTGCTTTGTGGAACAAATGCCGTGCGGCATCGTAATCATATTCACTGCAGTCAGCAATCCCAGGCCTGTGGACCAGGTAGGGCAGGAACCTAGCAGAAGACAGGGCTGAGGCCAGGTCCACCTGAGGACATGAAGAGCCACAGTGGCCGCTGTGGGCTTGGGTCGAGGAGAAGTGAGCACATCTGTATTTCAGAAGGATGACTCAGCCTGCCTGGAGAGCAGGTTTACACCAGAGGCAGAGCTGCCATGCAAGGGGAGAGGAGATGGACGGGAACTCTGAGGCAGAAGAACTGCCAATCCTGAGATCAGTGTGCTTGGGCTGGGGGAACTGTGAAGAACAGTACCCAGAGTTCTGAAATAAACCCCAATGCTGGCCGTGGTAGTCCCACAACAGGGCACGCTGGAGGGCAGACAGAACGAGGGCCAAGAGCAGGAGCTTGGGCTGGGACACCCCAAGATATTCAAGGTGAGATGCTCAGGAAACAGAGCTTGACACGCACAGGCTCAGGAGGAATGGTGGTAAACGTGAACCACCAGCCGGCAGAGGTCAGGAGACACCAAGGAAGGACCACAGAGTGCAGAAACATGAGGACCAGCGCTATGGTTGGGGTATGGAAATCAATATTCAGAAAACATAGTTAGGAGTCATTTGCAAGTCTAGCTAGCAGTACTGGAAAATGGGCCAGAGAAGCAACCAATGGAAAGAGGCAACTCTGAGAGGAGATCATTAAATATCAAGTTCTGAGGCATTAAAAGTAAAGGTCTCAGCAGTCTCCATTAATTAACTACGCTGAAAAGACAAACAAGAGACATTAACATGACTGTGGAAATTACCTCTCTCCTTCTCTGCCTCCTGGAAGTGATTTCATGGAAAGAGGCACATTATCCAAGATATCTCTGTGGTTGTGAGAGTAGCTGGAAACACACTGTTATGGATTAAAACCTGGTGATCAACTTAACACTGATTTAAATCAGCATGGTACTGAGCATAGATTGTCCACCTGAGGACAGTTGCCAGCATAAATAGAGACATAGAAAAGGAAAAATTGAGGTGTTGTGGGTTTCTTTAAGTGTTGTTGTTTGAGCCGTTGGTCTTGGAGGAGCTCATCATAACTAGCTTCCCCAGTGTAAGTTTAACCATTATCATCAGAGGAGCTGGGGACCTTGGTGGTGAGAGTGGCAATGGTTCACTTTGGGGGAGCTCTGGTCCTTACATCGAGCATCACTTCTTGGCTCCAGAGGGGAAGATGTGTGGCGTTTCATCTCCAGGAGATGCTTGTCATGCTGGCTTCCTGGCATGTTCTCAATTGTTCTTACTGTCAGAGGAACTCGGGACCTCCATGTTGCTGAGGATGGCTGTGGTACTTTTCAGGACAGCCTTGGTCTTTGTTTTGAGAGTGAATTCTTGGCTCCAATGTAGAACCCTCAATCTAACCAGCACAGCTCCTTCACCCCACTGACATAGAATTTTTAGCTTCCACCACTAACCTTTGGGCCTTCCTAGTACAGATCTGTAAAACAAGCTGGCATGAGTCCTTCTCTTTGGCTCTAGACCTCCAGTTGGACTCGTAGGAGGCACTGTCATGGGCTCTGGGTCTTCATCTGGACTTATGCAGGACATTGCTGTGAGATCCAGGCCCTTGGCTGTGTCTAAGTGTTCTGAACAGATTTCCTGAACTTTCCTGTATTTAACTCTGGGTGACCATCATAAATAATATTATAAATTCTGTGTCCTGATTCTAATTATTCTCCTCATAACCCCTGACTACAACACACACTAAACTGAGAGAAGTGTAAAAGCATAAAAATGTGAGGGGCTCACCAGTGACAAACCTTACAACTGTTGGATAAAAACCAGCTCCTAATGATGAAGAAACCATCAAAGGCCCTGCCCCTAAAGACTCTCACAGACTCACATACACACAATCCAGGAATTTTCAGAAGCAGCTAGGGGAATGTGGGACATTGTTAAGATTAGAATTAAGAGAAGAAAATCTCTAACAGCCTAACCACAGAGATAATAGAACTAAGACTTCGGGGGCTACACAGGGAAGGCAGTCTGTACAAAACATATCAAGTCAATCCAACAGAAAGTTCTGGAGATACAGGTAAATCTGATTTTAAGAATTAATACACTGTATCCAGACATGGTAGCTCACACCTATAATCCCAGCATTCAGGAGGCTGAGACAGTAGGACTGTTGAAAGTTCGAGACCAGCCTGGACTACAGTTAGTTCAAGGCCAGCCTGAACTGCATAGTGAGAAACCTGTCTCAAAAAGACAA